TGGCCTGGAATAGAGGTCTGAGGAGGCTGCCTGGGAGGCTCGAGCGCTATCTGAAGAACAAGTGGGGCTTGGCCAGGTAGGAGGTGGGAGGAGCGTCCCCAGGTAGGAGCAGCCCGTGTAAGATCCCTGGCTAGCCACGGGCTGGAGCCCGATGTACTGAGCAGGGGCACATCTGTGGCTGGGCGTCATGACTGTGCATCCACTTGTGCGTGGACATCTCACTAACAGCTATCCCCTGCTTCGTGTGTCCCTAGAGCCTCTCCTGACCGTTGGAACTGCCGAGCTGCCTGGGGTGTGGGATGGGCTCTGCAGTGGGACAGCACCTGGCCCCGTGTACCAACTCTGCCACTTTCCCCATGTGACCGTGGGCCAGTCACGTCCTCCTTCTGAGCCTCAGTGTCCTCATCTGGGAAACGGGAACAAGAATGCCTTCTTGGAAGGGCTGCGGGGAGAAGGGGGTGAGATCGCGGCACCTGCACAGTCACCCAGCGCTGGAGGCCATTCCCTCCTGATCCCCGTGGAGCGACAGCTGTTGTTTACTGAGCGCTTACAGCCGCTCTCTGAGGTGGGTGTCATCATTCCTGTGGTAAGCGTCTGGAAGAGGAGGCTCAGAGAGGGTAGCTTCAGTTATATAGGTTGAGCATCCCTAATCCAAATATCTGAAATCTGAATTGCTCCAAAATCCAAAATGTTTTGAGTGCTGATAGGACGCCACAGTGGAAAATTCCACACCTGACACCTTTGCTTCCTGATGCTTCGATGTACGTAAACTTTGTTTCACTCACAAAATTATTAAAAATATTGTATAAAATTACCTTTAGGCTGTGTATATAAGGTGTATATGAAACATAAATGAATTTTATGTTTAGAATTGGATCCCATCTCTAAGATATCTCATTGTGTATATGCAAATATTCCAAAATCTGGAAGAATCTGAAATCTGAGGCAATCCTCGGGCTGCAGCACCACCTCTCCCACACAGAGCACAGCCTGACGCTCCTCGCAGGTACGGATCGCCCAGCCGGCAGCCCCCGTCCCCTGGCCGGGGCTTCCCAAAGCAGGGTGTCTGTCCGTTGCTCCCACCACAGCCTTGACTGATACACGCCGTCAGCAAGTGGCAGAGTCTGGACGTAGGCCCAGTGCTTTTCTGTGGGCTCCTGTCACCGGCTAGAGCCAAGGCCTGGCCCCAGCTGCTGCCATGCGGCCCAAAGCGGGCAGGGGAGGGGCGGGGGGATGAAGCGGCAAAGCTCGCGCCAGGGAACTAGCAGCATGTCTCGTTCTGACATGGGACATCAGGAATGTGGAATGGCCCCAGCAAGCGTGTACCTGCCAGGGACGCTGGCAGGGAGGGGACGCAGGGAGCACAAGCGGAGCCCCTCCTGGCCCCCAGGACTTACCAGGCAGCAGCTGGCCTTGTCACTCTGAGCAACCTGGTTCTGGTCTCCGACACTCACAGGGCCTGCCAGGAACCTGGGGGTCAGCACCACTCGTTCCGGGAGCCCCATTCTGTGCCCCTGGACTTGTCGCAGCCCTCTATTTGTCCACCATTAAATGGGAAGAAGAATCCTCCTCTGCAGGCCCATGGGGAGGGAGAGCAGCGGGTGGCTGAGCCCGGCACTGCAGCGGGCTCATGGTGGGAAAGTGGAAAATGGGGGGTTCTCATCCCACACCCCTTGTCCTGACACACTGTGTTAACCTTCTAACCCTTTCCTCCCCCAGGTGAGGGCCGAGGGATCCGGCTCTCCTGCCAGTGGCTGGACGGCTGAAGGACAGTCGCCGGCCGGTCACTCCTGATGGGAGACTCTAAGTTTGGGAGTCTCAGAGTCAGTCAGACAGTTTGGGGGCTCTGGAGAGCCAGTGGTGTCCTTGAGTCCAGGAAGGGGCATAAAGCTGCCTCTGGAGCCACCTGCAGGGCAATCGGAGCAGAAGGGAGGCCAGAGATGGGGGGTTGGGAGGCGCACTCAGGGGCACAAAAGCCCAAACACAGTTCCCAGGGAGACACTGAGGCACCGCCCCTGTGCTGCACGTCCAGGCCTTGCCTCACCCTGAACCCTGCGCCCCAGGAGGCAGGCAGGGCAGGAGCACCCTACTCACGGGTGAAGACAGGACAGTCACAGAGGTGACAGTGCTGGCCTCAGGCGCACGGCTGCACCCTGCAATGGCGGGATTTGAACCTGTGTCCAAGTCCAGTGCTCTTCCCACCCCGTTAGGGAATGCGGCTCTCGAGGGAAAGGAAGTGGTCAGCGGCTCCCTGGTTCCTGTCTGGGGGAGGGCAGTTCCGTTTGGGACACGGTGAGCCAGGGAGGGTGCGGTGGGAGTGGGAAGGAGACCCGGGGGAGGGAGAAAACCATGGTCACGAGCCACTGCTCAGTCTTCCAGGGCAGCTTCTGCCTCAAAATCTTACACCCAATCCCTCTGACCCTGTGTGCATCTTCAGCCCACTGCCTGGGAGCCCGTGGGGCAACCAGCCGGCCCCCGTAAAGGATGTCCTGGTTGGGTAGTCCTGTCCCAGGCCTGAGGATTGCACTGGGTCAGGCCCCATGTCTGGACCTTCCCACAGCCCACCCCGGGGTTCAGGGACTGACCGGGGAGCAGCAGTAACTACAGGGATGGAGCCAAGGAAGTTTCCAGAGCCTTGGGAAGCTGATCCCTCCAAGAGGGAGGGGTCTGAGAACAAGGCCGTGATGGCCTCCCCAGTGGAGGACCAGGCAGGCAAGGACAGCTGCAGCCCAGCCGGGCGGCAACCAGCTGCTGCCCGGGAGACTGGCCAGGGTGGGGAGGGGCGGGCACAGCCCCCACAAGCCCCCAGCTTGAGCCGGCAGAGCGTGGGAGCAGGCAGCGGCAGTTTCAGGTTTTCATGCTGTGTTAACGGTCAGCTTGGTTAATGCTGAGCAGATGGGGCAGGGGGCTGCCAGCTCCCTTGGGGACAGATGCAGGGCATACATGGACACACACGCATGTGCTGAGGGTATGGGAGGCCCACCCCACGGATGGGGCAGCGCAGACCCCTCCAGCCCGTTCCTCGTTCACACCATCACATGCGTAAGATGGTGCCGCAGGACAGACGGACCAACACAGAGGCACGCACAGCCTCCTGGGGCAGCTGGAGGTGGATGCAAACCCAAGGCCTGGCACAGAGTCCTCAGTGCGTGTCACCCAGGCAAAGCGCCCAGCTTGGGGATCCCTCCACCCTCCTCCCTCTCCATGTCCCTTCGGGAAGACACCAGGCACACAGAAGTTTATTTCAAAAAAATAATTTATAAAAGGCCATTTGCTCCCGTGTTTTGGGCAGGCTTCCAGCCTCTCTGGGACACAGGGGACAACGCTCCTTCCACCAAGATGCTGGGACAAGCTGCAGCGAGGGGGAGGCTTGGGGAAATGGGGTTCAGAGGCCCAAAACCTCTCAACTGGTGTTGGGAAGCATGGAGGTTTAGAATTAGGATAGCAGCTCTGCAGCCAGGCCTGGCCAGACCCCCAAGATGGGGACGAGGGCCAGGGCCCAGGAGGCCAAGCAGAATCCTAACATCCAGGCCATCTGGACAATGGCCCCATAACTGCAAGCGCGAGGGAAGGGCCTTGAGATCAAGGTTGCGCTCTGGGTTAGGAACCCAAGGCCAGGGCAAGAAGCCTTAACTGGGAAGCCCAGGACCAAGGATGGACCCCCTCAAAGCAGAACCAGAGATCTGGGACAGCACCCTGAGGTCAGGGGCCTGGGGCTGCCAAGGTCAAGCACTGTGCCAGGTTGTGGCTGAGCCAGGAGGCTCAAGGCCACCAGCCTACCTGCCCCCACCACCTCATGCCCCTGCTCATGTCTGCACCCTGGGGAAGGGGAAGGAGCTGGGCCCCAGTGGCAAGGGGTCGTGGCTGAAGACAGAATCGCTGGAGGAGCAGGTGCTGCTGGCATCCCCACCAGAAGGGGAGCAGGGGCCGAAGGTGAGGCGGAGGTCGAGGTACTGTAGTGGGGAGCAGAGTGGTCAGCCTTGGCAGCCTGGGGACAGGCTGCTGCAGGTCCATGCAGTCGGGCCGGGTGAAGCCCAGAGGGGAATACGCAGGGAAGGGCAGGGGACAGCGGGGAGCAGTACCTCCTCAGAGACAGTCAGCAGGACCTTGTCCAGAGCCTCCACCAGCTGCTTGAAAGTGGGTCTCTGAGAGGGTGCAGCATGCCAGCACTCACGCATCAGCCCGTACCTGGGAGAGGTGGGTGGGGGGTCATAGGAGCCTCAGGCCTGGGGCCAGGGGAGGACTGTGGGGTCCCTGGGGGGTTTTGATGAGCGGGGCCATCCAGTGGGAGCCAGGCCAGGCCTCCCCACTGGGCCGAAGAGGAGGAGGAAGAGGAGGAGAAGTTAGTGCTGCCCTTGAGGTCAGGGTCAAACCCTGAGGCCAAGGCCAGGGCAGGGGATGAGGACTGGAAAGTGGGGTGTGGGCGAGGCCTCACAGCTCTGGGGGGCAGTGTGGCGGCCGGTCCATCCGATGTCCCTCCCGCAGCAGAGAGAACAGCTCCTCCACGGGGATGCCAGGATACGGGGAGCCCCCGAGGGTGAAGATCTCCCACAGCAGGATCCCAAAAGACCACCTGGAGGTGGGATCGGGGCTCAGCAGGACGCGGTTTCTCTCCCCTAGCCCCTACTCCTGGGGCCGGGATGGGGGACCCTGTGGGCATGATCCTCTACCGCAGGAGGAGGGGGGATCGGGCCCCACTCAGGTCCCAGGCCTGATCGTAAAGAGAATGCGCGTGCACAAATCCTAGGGCCACGCGACTTTGGCACGTGCCTTGTCTTTTTGTTGGGTAGGACAATGCTGAGCATTGGCAGACACCCTGGGTCCCCAGCTTCCAGGACTCACACGTCACTCTGGTGTGTGTACACTCGGTCAAACAGGGCCTCAGGAGCCATCCACTTGACGGGCAGGCGGCCCTGCAGAGGGGAGGAGGGGCACTGGTGCTGAGCCCTACAGGTCCCAGTGCCCCCTCCAGGCCCAGCCCCTCCGCCCAGCTGTGCCCGGCTCCCCTCACGTTGCTGGTTTTCTTGTAGTAGTCGATGTGGTGGACGCCTCGGGCCAGCCCGAAGTCGGCGATCTTCATCACGTTGTCCTCAGTCACCAGCACGTTTCGGGCAGCCAGGTCCCGGTGGATGCACTGGGGGTAGGGCGGGGAACGGGAGGGGGGCTCAGGGTTATTAGGACCTCATAATGGCTGGAAGCCGTGCTCACCACCGCACGGTAAGCCCGGGGGGAGGGATCATCCACCCATTTTACAGCTGAGGAAGTCAAGGTTCAGAAAGGGGAAACAAAATGCCCTCTTCTTTTGCATCACCTCTTGCCTTGCCTAGTCTATGGGCTGGAAAATATGTGAGCTAACAAATGGGGACATGCAGTGGCAGCTGCATAGGACTTGGGAACATTTAGACAGGCTAACGCGAAAGGGGAGGGAGGGAGAAGCTGGGGCATTTGCTGCCACAGGCGTGAAAGGCGGACACGGACAAAGTCAGAGCGGTCTGGAGCGCTGTCTACTGCCCGTACCTTCCGTGACTCCAGATACTGCATGCCTCGGGCCACCTGATAGGCACAGGAGACCAGGGCCGGGAAGGAGAGCGGCCCCTCGCTGCTCCGAGGTCCGTCAGGGCTGAGGTCCGGGCCGGGGGGGCGCCGGGCCCGCAGGAACTCCCGCAGGTTGCCCTTGGCAGCGCACTCCACGATCACGTACAGGGGCCCTGCAGAGCGGGGTCAGGGAGGCTGCCAAGCTCCGGCTCTGCACCCCGACTGCCCTGCCACCACCTCCGCCCCGCCCCACCTTCCTGCGTGCAGACACCCAGCAGGTTGATGATGTTCTTGTGTCGGCCGATCAGCTTCATCACCTCCATCTCAGAGACTAGGTCCGCCAAGTCCTTGTCGGAGGCATTATCTGCAAGGGCAACAGCTGGGGTCAGGAAGCTGTCCTCCAACTACACATGGAGGCTTCCAGGCAGGGGACAGGACAGGGAGCACTGGACCAGGCGTCAGATAGGTCTGGGGTGGAATCCCTGCTGAGCTGTGTGACCTTGAAAAAGTCTCCTAACCTCTCTGAACCTCAAGATCACCTTACATGAAAGAGAACAGTGGGTTCCCCCTATCTCTCACAGCAGTTGCAAGGACGCAACTAGATTAAGGATCTGAAAGAAGCAGGCCTTCCGGTGGGCAGGCCCAGGAAACGGGAGAGAGGGGAAGAGCTCTGAGCAGGAGGAAGCTCTGTCTGGAGGGGTTGGCGGTGGTCCCTGAATGGGGTGAGAGCTCCTGGGGGCGGGAAACAGGCTGGCTCCCTGGGGTCTATCTGACCAGGGCCTGGGGTCCATATGGCCTGGGAATTAAGGGAGCCACCAGCAGGGTGCAGCTAGGGGGTGGTGGGCAGAAGTCTGCTCTGGCTGGGCCCCGGTGCTGACCTGTGGCCCTGGGCCAATGACACAACCCGCCCCCGCAATCTCACAATGCGTATTTCTTAACCCCTGCCCCCCAGAAAGTGCCAGGTGGCCCCAGCTGTGCGGAGAGGAGGGAGGGAGCAAAACAGTGGTTGGGCCATTCTTGCAGAGGGGTCTGGGGGACAGCAGCCAGGGGTCCTGATGGTCAGGGCCCAGTCGTGCCTGCCGCAGCATCTTGGGGCTGTGGCTTGGGGTCTGGCACTGAGTTAAGCAGAAGGACTGTCCTCCTAGAGTGGTGGACACAACGGGACAGACTTGGCAAGGGTCCAGGGAAGGCTGAGGCATGTTTGGGGATAACCGTGGGGAACGAGGTAGACTAACATGGACCAGACTAACCTGGCATCAATCCCCAGTCACCCCAATGGTTAAGATTTATTGAACCCCAACTATGTTCCAGGCACTCTCCAGGAACCTTGGGCTGGAGCTAGGGACTATTATTTACCCTGTGTGACACAAGGGGAAACTGAGGCTCAGAAGTGGCTTGCCAGGGTCGCTAGCAGAGTCGGACCGCAGGCCTAAGGGTGGGATCCCACAGTCTCTTCCGGCCCCAGCGCTCACCAAGTAGCACCGGGAGCCCCGCTGTTAGTCCCAACACCACAGCGCTACCCCTCCTCAGCTGCCACATTCACCCTTGAGCATCTTGACAGCCACGGTGCTGGCTTGGTCGGGCCGGGCGGGGTCCATGCCGAAGGCCTCTGCGCACACGACCTGCCCGAAGCAGCCCTCGCCTAGGGGCTTCCCAAGCACCAGCCTGGAGACGAAGAAAAGATCAGAAAGCCCCCGCCCCGGGCCCCAACCCCGCCAAGGAACCCGCCCCCGCCACACCACGCCGTCGTACCTGTCCCGGGGGAACTCCCACAGCGGGTCGAGCGGCAGGTCCAGACTCACGAGGCCGGCGAGCAGGGGGGGGCCGCTGGAGGAGAGACGGACGCCTCGCACCAGGGAGGAGCTTGACTTACCCGAGGAGCCTGATTCCAGGGAGAACTGCAAAGTGGGAGACTTGGTTCTGCCTGCTGGAGTCAGGCTGGGACGTGGGGGTGGGGGGCGGGCACAGTACCTGTCGGGCCAGAGGGAAGCGGGACAACTTCTGCACAGCCGCAGGCTGGCGGGGGTACCGGCCGTGGAGCGCCTGCCCTCGAGACAGCCCGGCCAGCAGCAGCAGCACAGCGAGAGCCAGGGAGCCCGACGCGTACAGGACGATATCCGTGTACCGAGCCTCGGGCGCCGCAGCTGTCCACGCGAGGTCCTCCTCTGCCCTCGCCGATGGACGCGCACGCAGACAGACTGGCTGGTCAGTGGTCAGACTGGCCAGCCCCACTCCCTCTAACTCGGGCCCTCGCGGCTCCCAACACACACGCGCGGAGAAAGCTACGGTTCTACAGCTCTACCCAGTGCCGGGTACCCGGACCCCAGAGCGTCTCACGGGCAGGCGCAGAATCAAACACAAATCCGCACACCACATCCCCAGCCAGACCCCACAGACCACGGGAGGCTGTCCAGCCCCCAGGCCCTCGCCCACCGCGGACCAGAGTGGGATCTCGCAGCCTCTCCCGGCCCACTCCAGCGCTCACCTGGCAGCACCGTGAGCCAGGCTGACTGGTAGGAGAGGCCGATGGAGTTGCCTGCCAGGCAGGTGTACTCGCCCGCATCCTCCGCTGACACGTTTCGCAGGTACAGGACCTCCACCTCTGAGCTATTGATGTCTGCAGTCTGGGGGTGGGGACACACACTCAGGGAGCACAGAGCCTGGGCCACGCTGCGGCCAGGAGGGCAGCTGGGCAGCCCTCACCCTGGGGGAGAAGGGTGTGGCTCAGGCACGACAGGGGCCACACCTTCAGGACCTGCACGTAGGGGAAGCCGTCGGCGCCGAAGCTGCTGCCGTTGATGACGATGTGCTTTAGCCACTGGATGTGGGGCTGGGCGTCGCTGTATACCTTGCACAGCAGCTCCACGTCGCTGCCCACCACGGCCGTGGTGTTGGCTGGGAGCCCGGCTTGCAGGATGGGCCGGTGCGGGGACCGCTCTGGGGGCCAGGCCAGGCCGTCAACCCTGCTCAGTGGCACCCACAGAAGCACCCTGTTCACCCGTGTCCAGCCTTCCCCAGTTCAAGGGAGGGACCTTCCTGACAGACACCTCGGACTTCACCTGGTCCCGCTTATTCTGCCTAAACCTTCCACGACTCCCTGTCACTTGCGGGTCAAGGACAACTTCTCAGCCTAGCATCCACAACACGCCATGGCCTCGCTCCCCACATAAATGCCGCGCCCCAGGTGCGCACCCCCCGCAAATGCAGGGCATTCTTTATACTTCGGACCTTAACTCAGCCTGTGCCCTCTGTCTGGGAGCCTTCCTCACTTCTCAGGCAGACCCTGGCTCCCCCAGGCCTGTACCAACCCTTGTGCTTCTCTCTGACCCTCCTGGTCACTCAGAACTGCTTGACTCATCTAAGACTGAGTCCATCTTGCCTGCCAGACTAGGCCCTGTCGGAGGGCACGACTGAGCCCAAGACAGGTCAGGCCCCTGCCCCACAGCCTCCCTGCGCATCCGCTCACCCAGCACATCCAGCAGATAGCTGTAGCGGATGCTGCCCAGAGAGTTCTCCACGAGGCAGGTGTACGTGCCACGGTCCGAGGGCACCACGCTTTCCATCACCAGGCTCCAGTGCTGGTGGCGCAGCTGGGGGCAGAGGAAGGGTCCACGTGGGACCACCAGACCATGTCCACCCAGGGCCCGGCACATGAGGCTAGATCTTGCCCAGAGGGCTCTTCTTAAGCTCTCTGGGCCCTGGGGAGGTCAGGCCAAGGCCAGGGACCACACACAAAGGAGAAGGCTCCCAAAAGTCCCTGAGCCCTGGGTTCAAGTCTTTCTAGCCCTACCTCTCCGCAGCTGTACCACCCTGAGCCGGTCGTTACCCGCCAAGTCCCAGCTTCCTCATTACAGCACGGGGTTGACCCCGTAGGGTCTCTTTGTGAGAATGAGATGCTGAAGCTTATTAATACAAACTGATCAGTGATTTTTCCTACTTTATAAATGGAATTGCTAAGGCTGAGAGGTTAAGTCACTTGCCAGAGAGGGACAGAATGGGAACTTGAACCAGAGCTGCCTAAAGCCACAGTCTAGGGCTCTTTCTGGGCACACGCAGTTGCCTTCCTCAGCAGACTTGTTACAAGTGTGTTCAATTTATAGGTATGAGGGGATGGACGAGGGAATGAAGAGGGGGGAATAGAGGGTCCTGAGACCCAGAGACTCACCCGAATGCCTCCAATGCGATTCTCTCCATGAAAGGCCTGTCCATCTTTGAGCCAGCGGATGGTGGGCACGGGGTTACCCGCAGCTGGACAGCGGAACTTGACGGTGTTCCCGGCAGGCACTGCATGTAGTTTCTTCTCCATGCGCTGGGGGTGTGTCCAGTAGGGTGCTGGAGGGGAGAGGAGGGGGAGGGAGTACTTACAGCCCCTAGGATGATCACCTGCTTCCACACAGGTCTATTCTGTTTCATCGGTGACCAGATGAGTAGTGGGGACAAGAGTCCTTGAGAACTCATACTGACCTTGCTGGGGGTAAGTGTGCCCATCATGGGTTTTGGGATCCTCATCATCATTGCTGGAGGTCAAGGAGTCTACGTCGGGACAGAGGGAAGTGGTGCCTGAGGTCCAAGAGGGGGAGGTCTCTCTCCCCAGGCATCCTATAACCCCCTGCCGGACTCTTACCATCTACGACCAAGGTGAGGTTGTGCAGGACAATCATGGAGCCTCGTGCCAGGCAGAGGTAGTGGCCAGCATCCTCAGGTAGGAAGCTGGCAATCTCCAGGCGGCCCCTCCAGCCCCGTACCCGGCCAGCAGGTGCCAGGCGACTGCCCTCCTTGTACCAGTGTCCACCACGCTCAGCCCGCCCACAGCACAGCCGCACAGGCTGCCCAAGGGCCACAGTCAGCTCCTGCTCTTGCTGTTCCAGGCTGGGAGCCAGGCAGGGCTCTGCGGGCAGAAGGGCACAGGTCAGCGAGCTCCGCAGCATCATGCGAGGCAGCCTCTGCACACGGAGAACATGCTGCACACACAGGGCACAAGCACCTCGAGATGCATGCTGGACAAGCCACTGCTCCTGGATACACACACAACTACATGCTGCAGATGCTACACGCAGGGCAAATGCCACATTCTTAGGGCATGTCACATACACAAGTACTTAGTGCACATGCCATTGTCCAACACACACACACACACATGCTATATGTAGGCGCCACATACAGGGCACATACCACACCTCTGGGGCACATCACACTCACAGTGCATATACCACATATGCCGCCTGGACCTCCCAAGTCACACTCCCAACGAACAGAACACACTCACCCAACACGCACGCCACACAGCCAAGGGCTCACCACCAGCTCTGCAGCCCAGCTCAGGGGCCTGTGCCTTGCAAGGCCAGTCCTTTCGCAGACACAGAGATAGATGGATGCTGCTGGGAGCTGAACACTGACCCGGTCTCAACAGTTGGCCCTGCCCTGCTGCCACCTTCTCAAGGTCTGGCTGGGATCCTTTCCAGCTTTGCTCAGCCAGCAGCCCCCTCCTGGTGCCCATTCTTCCCACCCCTGCCACCCTTCCCCACCTTAGAGGCCATACCCAGCTCCACTTCCTCAGAGGCCTCAAGGGACAAGGCTGGAGCCCCAGGTACAACCAGGAGGACCCCCAACAGGGCCAACAGCAGCCACATCTCCTTCCTGCAGCTCTCAGGGACCCAGGCTGGACTTCCCACCGACTGCCTTCCTAAAACAGGGAGGGCAAAGAGCTCCTGCTATGTGTGCACCTTTGCTGGTGCTCTTCCCTTATTCTGCAGATGAGGAGACAGACACAGGAAGTGGTAAGCAGACTTGTCCAAGGCCCCAGCCAGGCAGCTGCAGGGCAGAGACTGGAACCAGCTCTGCTGTTGCCAGAGTCCAAGGCCTCCCCACAGTAGGTTGTGCAAGGGGGCTGGGCTGGGCTGTGCTGGGCTTCCTGCTCTTCTTGGGTCCTGCTGAGATCCTGGCACAAGTTCACAGAAAGAGCAGTTTTGGGATTCTTTTCTTGGAGGGAAGCAGAGAAGGGAGACATATCTTCTGCTCACTCTTGGCACACATAATTTATTTTTTGCTGAGTAAATGAATTTATTGCTGAAGAGCACCCCCCCTCCAAAAACTGAAGTATAATACAAGGCCAGACTTCAGCATCTGGATGTTATCTGATCTGACCCCACTCCTTACAGCACGACTGACATTTCCAGGAGCTAGGCGCTCACAGCCAAGACAGCCCTTCCATGGCAAGTGGGAAGCTCTTCCTCATTCTGAACCAGAACTGCATTCCCCAGCTACCTCTGCTTCTTGTGCCCCTACAACTCCATCTGGGGCAGCACAGGGTTTTGCAAAGAATGTAGACTCTTAAGTATCAGACAGAGCTAAGTTCAAATCCTGACTCTTACCAACTTGCAAATCTCTCTGTCCCTCTCTGTGCTACTCTCCTCATAGGACTGCTTTGGTTCAGGAGCTGCTCCTGCCAGATGTGATATACACACACGCCCCCAAGCCGGTTACTCTCTTCCAAATGCTACCCAACATGTCTCTGTCCCTCAAAATGCAACACTCGCAACTGAGCCTCAGGTGGGGCAGGGGAACAGGGTGACCAGTGTAGTCCCAGGGCCTATTGGCTGTTACCTGGGGCTGGGTAACAGCCAGGTGGCACTGGTGTCTCTGGAAATACCCTGCCTGGGAAGCCCACTATACCCCCTCTCCTCAGCCACTGCCACCCCACTTCCAGTCCATCTGGCCTCCCCTGCCCCTACCAGGGAAGGTCATGGTCATCTCATGCTTGGGCCTTTGCAAACGTCTTCTCCCTGAGCTCTTCGGCCTCCACCCTGCAGTAGGACCATGTCACCCCCAAGCTTTCCTTAATGGCTGCCTGTGTCCAGCAGGATCCAGTCTACACTGTTTCTCCAGCCTCCTAGGCCTACCTTTCTGCCCCTGCCAATCTCTTTGGTCACCCTGTCTGCCCCTTCAGGAGCACTGAAGCCATTGGCTTTCAAAACTGGGCACACTTGGCCGGGCGCGGTGGCTCACGCCTGTAATCCTAGCTCTCTGGGACGCTGAGGCGGGTGGATCGTTTGAACCCAGGAGTTCGAGACCAGCCTGAGCAAGAGCGAGACCCCGTCTCTACTAAAAAAATAGAAAAAAATTAGCTGGACGACTAAAAATATATAGAAAAAATTAGCCGGGCATGGTGGCGCATGCCTGTAGTCCCAGCTACTCGGGAGGCTGAGGCAGGAGGATCGCTTGAGCCCAGGAGTTTGAGGTTGCTGTGAGCTAGGCTGACGCCACGGCACTCTAGCTGGGGCAACAGAGTGAGACTCTGCCTCAAAAATAAAAAACAAAAAACTGGGCACACTTGCTCTCTTGCCCATACCTCCCAATCCCCTCCTCCACTTGGCTCAGATACCACTGTCTCTGAGCCCACCCCACCTCCCAAGTTCAGCTGACCTCTTCTCTGTAAAACCCTCTACCTCCTCTGCTCTGCAGGGAGGTAGCTCTTCAGGGACATAGCAGGGTGGGGAGACCGAAGGGTTTTATTCCCACCCTCAGGCTGCCCTGACCTCACAACCTCAGAGTCCTCAGTCGGATCACCCATGGCTGCTGACCGCTACAGCGACCACCTGGCACGTGGGGGCGAAGGGCCTGACTCTGGCATCAGACAGTCCTGGGTTCTCCTCCAGCCTCCTGCACGCACGCGCTGGAGGGCCCTGGGCAAGTGACTGCACCTCTCGGAGCCTCAGCTCCCTCATCTCGACGCCCGGTGCGCAGACAGCCCAGCTGCTCAGGAACAAGCGCGCTCTTCCTCCCCCACCCCTACAGGGTCAGCCTGGGGGGAGGTGCGAGTCCCCAGGGGTACCTGCACAGGCCGCCAGCCCGCCCCCGCCGCGGTGGGCAATGAGTAACCAGCTCCGTGGCCAGGGTGCTCTTTGGACGGAGCCGGACAAAAGGCCCTGTGTACGCTGCGGGTTACTGATTTACCGCCCCCTCCCCGCTCCCCCCGCCGCCAAGCGGACGCCCAGGTCCCCAGGGTTGCGAGGGGGCAGCCCCGGAGCCTCGTCGCCGCTCGCCCCCTGGCGGCTGGGAGCGCAGCCTGGGACGCACCTCCAGCCTGAGTGGCTCTGTTCCTGGCACAGCGTCCTGGCTCACCTGGCTCCTCGGCCGCCCGGCTCCCAGCTCCAGCCGGCCACGAGCCCTGCACCCGGCGGGGTCCGCAGACTCAGCCCCAGCGCTCCTCCGTCCGCGGCGGGAGAGCCAGGAAAGTACCCGCGACCGCGACAGCGGCGTGGCCGCGGGCGGCCCTGCTCCGCCTGGACCAGGGTATCCTGAGGGAGGCGTGGCCAGGGTCCACCCAGAGCCCCGCCCATCTGGGGCCCCGCCCCCGAACCGGCCACGCGGAGTCCCCGACCAGAGCAGCCCAATCCCGGGACCCCGCCCCAGCCTACTACACCCCCCCGACTCCGCCCCTTTCGCCCCACCCAGGCCCCAGGCGAGGCTTCCAAGGCGCAGTGCACTGCCCTGCTGTATGCCCTGGTCTTCACCTCTCAGACACTGATACCTTGGCCCAAGCTGGCTCTGATTTCTGCGCAGTCCTCGTACAGCAGATCCCCTTCCCTCATTTGTTCTCTGTACAATCTTCAGAGTAATACTTAAAATACAAATCCGACTGTGTCAACCACCCTTTAAATTTTCCAATAGCTTTCCATAGCTCTTTATAATATAGATTTTTGGCATGACCTGGTCCCTGCCCAGGTCTCCAGATGAAACCTTCATTCACTTTTTCCTTGCTTCCGTCCTATGCCTGGGTCTTTGCACGTGCCATTTTCACCTTCTAGAATACCCTTTCTCGTTTTGGTCTGGTTAATTCCATCTTATTAGGTTTCAGCTCGCTTCCTCCAAGAAGCCCTCTGCACTTGCCAGATTCCCCTTAGAGATGCCTTCTCTCCCATGAGGATGGAGTGAAGTGGTTCAGAGCGCAGATTACAGGGCTGAACAGCATGGGCTCAAATCTCAGCACCATCACACAAGGCCTTGGCAGTTTACTCCATCTCTGTCTTCATTTTCTTGTCGGTAATATGGGTAAATGATAGTATCACCCTCAAAAGGTTGCTTGCAAAAAGTAGACATACTACTATGTGTAAGGCTGGCAAGCAGCATTTCCTTTGTTATACCAGCTATGATTATTTAGGACCCATTATTTCTTCATTGCATTTGCCAGAATTGTAACTGGCAATTGTGTAAATAGTTGTGAAATGGCCTGCATGGTAGCCTGCGCCTGTAGTCCCAGCTACTCGGAGGCTGAGGGAGGAGGATCACTTGAACTCAGAAGTTCAAGACCAGCCTGGGCAACATAGTGTGACTCTGTTTCTGTTAAAAAAATAATAATTGTAAAATGTTAAGGTCCTGGAAGGCAGGAACTGTGCCCACAGACCTCACCATTGTATCTTAAGTATGTGGCACACGGTAGGTGCCCCCAGACAGCTCTGCTCCCACCTGGCTCAGGTCCCCTCACCTGTAAGCACTTCTGTCCTGAGCATCCAGACTGTGGCCAAGCTAGGAGCCAACCAGTCTCTGTCCCCCAACCCTCACCTGAATTTCAAGCCCTCTGCTCGTCTAAGGCTCCCAGAGAGCTTGGGTGTCGGGCTCAGCTCCTAGTTGTCCCCTCTAGGGTATGGAGACCTTCACCTAAGAAGCAACTACCTTTCCCATTGTTATGCTGGGAGTCTAGCTTTTTCCACTCTCTCTCCCAAAGGGCTGGTGGCATTTCTTTACATAACTAAAAGGCCTATTCAAGTGACTTGGTTTTTTTAATTTTTCTTTTCCTTCTCAAACAAAAGAATGGCCTCCTCCCAAAGATAAATCAGAAAATTGATTATTTTTTAAAAAGGGTTTGTCTCTTCTCCAGAGTCTCACATGCTGGAGCTCCCAGGAGGGATGAAGCTCCTGGCCCTGGGAGCTGCCTGCCCAGAGAGGGCCTGACTCCCAGCCAGGCTCGGCTCCCGCCTCCGGCCCTCTGCTGGCTCCCAGAGTGAAAGTGGCTGTTGGGTGGGGCAGGGTGAGCCCCCGGCAGGAGCTAGAGCCCACAGGCTTTCATTCAACTTCCAGGGCATTTCCTGCCTTTACCTGAGCCAAAGGCAAACCAAAGGCTTTCATAGGCCAGGTCTTGCAATCTCCTCATCTCCTGAGATGTCCAAATCCCTCAGACTGGCAGTCCCTCGCATCCCCGGGGTATGTTCCCCACATCCCTTGTCTGGTCCCCCTCCCGCATGCACAGCCTTTCACACGGACCCTGGGCCGAGGCCGATGCTCTCTCACAAAGTCATTCATTCATTCACTTATTCATTTGACGAGTATTTATTAAAGGTGCATTATGTGGCATGCAACTGTTGTGAAGCCTGGGGAGAAAGCAGCGAGTTGGACCTTACCTCTGCCCTTCAAGGAGCCGCTGACATTGTAGCGGGGAGAGGCAGCTATGTAAAGGGCGACAGGAGACCTGCCGAGGGAGTCAGGGAGGGGCACCCAAACCTCTCTCACTGTCTCGCCGGCTTACTAACATACAATCTCTCACAATCACATCTGCTGTCTCTTTCTCAAAGACATTCAAACACACACACACACACACACACACACACACACACACACACACACACTTCCTCTCTCTTAGCAGAGGTGAGAGCCTGCCATCCTAAGATCTTGCCTTTAGCCTGCCTCTGCCTCAGTTTCTCTATCCAGAAAACAGGCACACCCCTGCTTCTTTCTTCTCAGGAGTGTTGGGGAAAAAGAATGAGTTAACAGACAGGAAAGGGTTTCACCAGAACAGGAGGTAGGGAAGAAGTCCTCGCTTCGGCTGAGCACCCACTATGTGCCAGGTACATGCTAAGTGTTGTACATGCACTATATCCTTTCATGCTTCCACCAAGCCAAATGGTACAGGGATCCTCGGCTCTGGTCTGCAGTCAAGGAAACAAGCTCAGGGAGATGGAAGGACTTCTCTGAGGTGATCTAGAAAGTGAATGGCAGAACTCAAACCCTTGTCT